AAGAACTATTGGAGTTGGCAAATATTTCGGGAACTCTTGTTTCTCATACCGGGTACGCCCACGTGAGCTTAGGGAAACCGAAATATAATCCGACGATATGTGACCTCTGGTCCCCTGCGCACGGAATGCTTAGGTTTTGGGATAATTTTAGGGTATATATATTGTACTCCTTTTTTTTTAAGATCGTTCTAACGAATTGTAATGTGCTTAATGATAATTTATTAAGTTGAAGCCCTCTCTTTCTCTCTTGTCTTTTTGTCCCCAAATTTGAGTACAATTTACATTTTAATCACAATTTATATTGAATAATGTTCTATCACAAGAATAGTATTTTTTAAATTTTTTTTATTTTCATTTCTGTTTTTCCTTTTTTGTTTTTCTTCTTTTTCTTTTCCTTTTCCTTTTCTGTTTTTCCTTTTTCTCCTTTGTCTTTTTTCCTTGTTTCTGTTTTTTAAAATTATAATTTATATTTTAATTTTTTTTTCTTCCTCCGCGGCTGGCGGCCGGCCATGGCCGGGCCGGGCGGGAGGTCGCCGGCGTCGGGCGAGGGGGCCCTTGCCGGCGTCGGGCGAGGGCGGCCCTCGCCCGGGCCGGGCGAGACCGGCCTCGCCCGACGCCGGCGAGGCGAGGCTCGGCCTGCGCCCGCAAGCCGGCGAGGCTCGACCTCGCCGGCGTCGGGCGAGCCCGGCCTGCCTCGGGCCGGGCGAGGCCGGCCTTGCCCGGACGCCGGCAAGGCTCGGCCTCGCCCGCAACCTGGAGAGGCTCGGGCGAGGCCGGCCTCGCCCAGCCCGAGGCGAGGCCGGCCTCGCCCGACGCGCGCGAGGGCCGGCCTCGCCCGACGCCGGCGAGGGCCGCCTCGCCTAGAGGCCGGCGACCTCCGCGCCGGCCCCGAATATGGCCGGCCGCGGAGGAAGAAAAAAAAAGAAAAGGAAAAGGAAAAGAAAAAAAACAGAAAAAAATAGGAACCGGCCCGGAACCGGACGGTTCCGGTTCACACTTGGCCACGAACCGGAACCGGTCGGTTCCGAACCGTGGCCACCTCTACATGGAAGTCCCGAGGGAAACCAAAAGCAACAATATTGTCATGCCTAAATCTAGCTGTGTTACCTTCAATGAGTTCAATCTCTAACAAAAATCCTGAAATTCATACATAAAGAAAAATCAACAAGAAACCATGCTCTAAAGACAAATGCATATACGCCGATTAATGAAGTCCATTTACGCATCACAAAATCGGAGCTTCCACAAAAGATAGTCTATTTACCAATGATATTGTCCTCGGTAAGACAATCCGAATCTAAAACTAAAAACGAGATTAAATAAAGTATTCACTTAATAGATAAATATGTGGATGAATTACAAAATAAAAAGAATTTAAACGACTTACCCGACTCAATCTTTTCCGCATTCTCAATGCACTCTTCAACATTAATCGGCACGCAAACGGCTCTCAACCAATCTTGAGTGCAAATCAAACCTTCCACCACCCTAGGAGTCAAAGAACTTTGAAAGCTATTAAACACACGTCCTGATGTACTAAAAGTCGACTTCGAATAAACGGTAGTCATGGGAATGGACAAAACATCTTGAGCCATCAAAGATAAGATTTTATACTTTGACCCGGTACTCTTCCACCACATCAAAAGGTCAAGATTATTGGCATCTTCACTTTCAACTTCATGATACCAATCAAGCTCAAATTTGTTTCCCGAAGCACTTTTTTCTTTGTGTTAAGAAAGCTTTTTCACAAAGTTTGGATGTCATCCTCATTGTTACCTTCATTATTATTAGTATTGACATTGGAAAGACTACTACTAGTACTCACACTTGAACCACCGAAATTTTGTTTACTAGAACAAATAATGAATTGCTCATAAAATTCATACAAACGCTCCAAGACAAGCTTCACATTATCATGCATCTCATCAATTTTTGCTTCGTCATCATAAATTTGTTCGTAACAGAACTTTACATAATTCAACTTTCTTTAGGATCCAACACAACCGCAATCAACACCATCATGTTTACTTTATCCAAACTTCCATAATATTTGTCAAACTTCTTCTTCATTTTAAAACCCATAACTTAAAGCTTAAGGTCCAAAGAATTCGCCGCATGATTCAAATATTTATACAAAAAAGTTATACTCTCAAAGTAATCATTTGAAGTCACATATGAACTCCCCGACATCCATTTGGTGGCATTATAAAACTGTTTCAGAAATTTAGAAAGAATGATAGCATTTTCCCAATCTTCATTTCGAGGAAAATCATTGTCAATCTCCCCTAAGAAAGATAAATCATCTTCTTTTATACTTTCAAAAGCTTTCCTGAACTTTACGGCGGTATCTAACATTAGGTAAGTGGAATTCCATCTAGGGGCAATATCAACACAAACCGAACCCTTGTATGCAATCCTCTCTTTCTCAATGCAAGATTGAAATGTTTGGGCTCTCATGGGAGAACTCCTCACATACCTAACTACATTTTGGATATGTGCAATAGAATCCCGCACCTCATTCGATCCATCTTAGGCAATCAAATTTAATATATGAGATGTGCACCTCATATGTAAAACATCACCATTCAAGATCAAAAAGCCTTTCCCTAGAAAATTTTTTCTTCAAATAACCAACGGCCACATCATTAGAACTAACATTATCCACGGTTATTGTTGACACTTTCTTTTCTATTCCCCACTCGTAAATGCACTTCTCCACCATTTTCCCAATCTCCCTACCCTTTTGACTATGCATCACCACAAAATTGATTATTTTTTTATGCAACTTCTAGTTTTCATCAATAAAATGTGTAGTGAAACATAAATAGTTCAAGTTTTGAATGGAACTCCACATGTCAGTCGTAAGTGCAATCCTAGAATTAAGCTTACCAAAGTAAGCTTTCAAACAAGTAAATACAACTTCATACAATCTCTAGCCACCGTAAATAATGATAAATGTTAGAAGAGAGGTTGTAATTCAGTGACAAAATCACGAAAACCAACACGCTCAACTGTGGAAAAAGGTTGTTCATCAATAATGATCATCCGAGCAAGCATGTGCCTACAACGTTCTTGATTAAACTTCCACGTTGTTAAGACACTACCAACACCAGTATTTTCCCCTACCTCGCCAACCACATCTTTATTACATGGTGCAAACAACATTTTCTTCTTATCTACATGAGGATACTTTTTGCACTTTCTCAAGTGCTTCCGCATAGTAGATGTTCCATGATCAATAGAATAATTATACTAAGTCCCACAGTGAATGCACTTTACGTTAGTTGTTTTCTATGTGTCGCGACCTACCTCACGAGGGCCAAACTTGATAAGGCGAGTTTAGAGGTAAGTGTTTATGAAACGGTATATACGGCACATCATAAAAGATCGCTTACTGAAGCGTCAATCTTTTAGTCATATGTATGGTCCATTAATCATGAACATGGATTTTCCCTAATCCATACATCGCGTGACAGCGGATCGATTTTATCTTTTTTTAGAAGTCGCCACTAGCCTAGGTCGAGGGTGGGCTAGAATACCCAACCAATACGCGGAAATTTCGTATTGGTTTCTACGAAAATCAGAGATCATGGATTCAGGGACTAGCTTATGTTAATATTTCTATTAACGCTCTTTCGGTACCGCTAAACTTATCATGGTTGTTATCTAAGTTGTCATGCATTTGTTTTTTTACCATTTTCATGTCAAAGCTTTAGTCCCACTAAGTGATCATGCATTTTGTTTTTGTATTTTCATTTAAGATTCTAAACTAATCCTATCTTAGTCTAGAAAAGAAAGAAATAAACAATTGTATAGAAAACATTGCGTAAAGTAAATAACCAAGGTATTGAAAGAACTAGCTAATTCTAAGTACAAGAAAGAAAAACCCGCAACTCGTCGGGTATTTATATAACGCGAATAAGAAATCCGAGACATAGGTTGGGTAATAAATGAATTTTTACAAGAACATAGATCGGAATGGACATTGATCATCACCGTATACAAAGAATAGAGTCGGAATAGACATCGACCTTCGCCATCTTCAAGACCATCGTCTTCTTGAACCTATCTAACCCTAATCTAAAGCTGAAACTAAATAAAGAACTACAACAAACAATATACAATCACAAAGTACACAACATCACAAGTCAATCAAAGATAACAAACAAGGCACAAAGAATTTCAAAAGTGGCCTCGGGGTCGGCCTTTATTCAAACATGCATCGATACCTCTTATTATCTACCCATGTTCATTTTAGACACAATTCATGGTTAATAACTACCATTGGTGTTCACCAACAGCAATTAATGCCATGCATTCCTAAGTTAGGTTTTATATGTAATCCCAATTTGGACCCACAATCATGCATCGTCCCTAGGCATACATCTAAAAATCACATACATAGCGATTAATTAAACATGTAGATAGGTCGAAAGACCTTGATTCTCATCCAATCACTCAAATTAGTGAACCAACACCGGGTCACTTCATTTAATTCATCACGCGCCAATCACAAGCATATGCGCTAGAAAATCATTAAATTGTGTGATTGTTAAAAAAATGAAATTTTACAGGTGAGTGGAATGACAATTTTAATAAGAATTTGAGTACGTTCAACATTCTTGGGATATAAATCCAGAACCCGGGTGCGAAGTTCTCAAGCACACTTATCGAGTTTCATGAATCATCGAATTAGTATCAATTCTATTAAAATTGGCATCAAAACAAAATTTAGAGGACCGCTGTACAACTCCTTTTTATTTTCTAAAAAATTTTGTGAATGAAGTTCGTGAAATGAGGATTAAAACTCGTGAAGACATTAAAAACCGGTTCAGTATGCATTAATTTCTAAAAATCCTAAAACAAAGACAATTCATAAAGGAAAAACAAAGAAAAGCATAACAGGGGATACAAGATGCATTCAATTGGAAAAGAACCCATGGTCAAATAGTTCTGAAAATTTATGGTACATCAACCACACAACAACGAACATTTTTTGTGAAGAAAACTTCATAAGATAAGCTATACATGAATTTACAAAAATCACAGAACATGAGGAAGTGCATCAGAATAGAACATATGAGCAGATTTTCAGAGCAATCTCATGGCAATTTGGGCATGTTAATGATGTCCAAAAAATTCTCAAATTTTGTCACGACCTAGGTCTGGGAATGACAATCAAAGTCCATGAAGAACTCATCATCAAAATCTTTACTGAAAAATTCACACAAAATTGGTAAAGTGCAAACACAGAATTGGCACATTAAGGTAGCGAATGATAACTATTCTGTTCCAGAATGAGTTCTTGAAACAGAAATAGATTTTTCTATTTCTGGTTCCAGGATGAGTTTCTGAGAAAAGAAACCCGTTTGATAACGACCAAAAATTTCTATTTCTGGAACAGAAACCCGTTTGATAACAGCACAAAATTTATATTTCCTAAAACAAAAACCCATTTGATAAACAACACAAAATTCTATTTCCAGGAACAAAAATCCATTTTTTTAGGAATGGAATAAAAATAATTAGAAAATCCAAAAAATTCCTAAAAATCTCAAAAAAATTCAAAAAATCCAAAAAAAATTGAAAAATTCTAGAAAAATTCATCACAATTTCCAAAAAACAAAAAAAAATTCAGATTTCGGGAAAATAGGAAATTTGTTGAATTTTTTCAAAAAAAATCAAAAAATAAAAAATTTCAAAACTTCATAGAATGGCTTAAAATACCCGTGGCCACCCACTTTTAGTGAAATTTAAATTTTTTTAGGTGCCCAAAAAAATTAAAAAATCAAAAATTTCAAAACTTGACAGAATAGTTTAGAATACATGTGACCACCCACTTTTAGTGAAATATAAATTTTTTAAGGTGCCCAAAAAAATTCAAAAACTCAAAAATTTCAAAACTTCACAGAATAGCTTAGAATACCTGTGGCCACCCACTTTGAGTGAAATTTTAATTTTTTGAGGTGAAAAAAAAAGCAAAAAATCAAAAATTTCAAAACTTCACAGAATGGCTTAGAATATCTGTGGCCACCCATTTTGAGTGAAATTTAATTTTTTTTAGGTGCCGAAAGAAAAATAAAAACATAAAAATATCAAAAATTTTAAAATTTCACAGAATGACTTAGAATGCCTCTAGCCACCCGCTTTGAGTGAAATTTAATTTTTTTTAGGTGCCCAAACGGTATTTTTGATTTTTTAATTTTTTTTCGGCACCTAAAGAAAATTACATTTCACTCAAAGTGGATGGCCACATGTATTCTAAGCCATTCTGCGAAGTTTTGAAATTTTTGATTTTTTGCTTATTTTTATTTTTTTCCAGCACCTAAAAAAAATAAAATTTCATTCAAAGTTGGTGGCCACAGGTATTCTAAGCCATTCTGTGAAGTTTTGAAATTTTTTCTTTTTTACTTATTTTTATTTTTTTCCAGCACCTAAAAAAAATTAAATTTCACACAAAGTGGGTGGCCACAGGTATTCTAAGCAATTCTGTGAAGTTTTGAAATTTTTTATTTTTTTATTTTTTTCGGCACCTAAAAAAATTTAAATTTCGCTCAAAATGGATGGCCACAGGTATTCTAAGCCATTCTGTGAAGTTTTAAAATTTTTGATTTTTTGCTTTTTTTTATTTTTTTAGGCACCGAAAAAAAATAAAATTTCCCTCAAAGTGGGTGGCCACAGGTATTTTAAGCCACTCTGTGAAGTTTTGAAATTTTTGCTTTTTTGCTTATTTTTATTTTTTTTGGCATCTAAAAAAAATTAAATTTCGCTCAAAGTGGGTGGCCACAGGTATTTTAAGCCATTATGTGAGGTTTTGAAATTTTTTATTTTTTTTATTTTTTTCGGCACCTAAAAAAATTAAAATTTCGCTTAAAGTGGATGGCCACAGGTATTCTAAGCCATTCTGTGAAGTTTTGAAATTTTTTCTTTTTTGCTTTTTTGACCTTTTTTCGGCACCTAAAAAAAATTAGATTTCACTCAAATTAGGTGGCCACAGGTATTCTAAGACATTCTGTGAAGTTTTAAATTTTAGATTTTTTGATTATTTTTTATTTTTTTTTGGCATCTAAAAAAAATTAAATTTCGCTCAAAGTGGGTGGCCATAGGTATTTTAAGCCATTTTGTGAAATTTTGAAATTTTTTATTTTTTTATTTTTTTTATATTTTTCGGCACCTAAAAAAATTTAAATTTCGCTCAAAGTGGGTAGCCACAAATTCTAAACCATTCTGTGAAGTTTTGAAATTTTTGATTTTTTGCTTTTTTTTTCCCACATCAAAGATCGTGACTTCCAGATGAACATGTGCTTTGAAGAAAGAGTTCTCTCAGAAACGATTCTCATTTTTAGTATAGAAATAGAAAACCTACTTTTTTTTTTGTTTTGATTTCCGGTTCAGAGTCGGTTCTGGAACAAAAAGTTGTTCCAGAAATAGAAAAATGGAATTGCGTTACCAAACGGGATTCTGGTCCAAAGCTATTTATGAGAAAAGAAAACCAGTTCTGAACAGAACCAGAATGAGTTCTTGAAACAAAAATAGATTTTTCTATTTTTGGTTCTAGGATGAGTTTCTGAGAAAACAAACCCGTTTGGTAACGACAAAAAATTTCTATTTCTGGAACAGAAACTCGTTTGATAACAGCACAAAATTTCTATTTCCTGAAACAAAAACCCGTTTGATAAACAACACAAAATTCTATTTCCAGGAACAAAAATCCATTTTTTTAGGAATGGAATAAAACTAATTAGAAAATCCAAAAAATTCCTTAAAATCTCAAAAAAATTCAAAAAATCCAAAAAAAATTGAAAAATTCTAGAAAAATTCATCACAATATCCAAAAAATAAAAAAAAATTCAGATTTCGAGAAAATAGGAAATTTGTTGAATTTTTTCAAAAAAAATCAAAAAATAAAAAATTTCAAAATTTCATAGAATGGCTTAAAATACCCGTGGCCACCCACTTTTAGTGAAATTTAAATTTTTTAGGTGCCCAAAAAAATTAAAAAATCTAAAATTTCAAAACTTGACAGAATAGTTTAGAATACATGTGACCACCCACTTTTAGTGAAATATAAATTTTTTAAGGTGCCCAAAAAAATTCAAAAACTCAAAAATTTCAAAACTTCACAGAATAGCTTAGAATACCTGTGGCCACCCACTTTGAGTGAAATTTTAATTTTTTGATGTGAAAAAAAAAAAGCAAAAAATCAAAAACTTCAAAACTTCACAGAATGGCTTAGAATATCTGTGGCCACCCACTTTGAGTGACATTTAATTTTTTTTAGGCGCCGAAAAAAAAATAAAAACATAAAAATATCAAAAATTTTAAAATTTCACAGAATGACTTAGAATGCCTCTAGCCACCCACTTTGAGTGAAATTTAATTTTTTTTAGGTGCCCAAACTGTATTTTTGATTTTTTAATTTTTTTTCGGCACCTAAAGAAAATTAAATTTCACTCAAAGTGGATGGCCACATGTATTCTAAGCCAATCTGTGAGGTTTTGAAATTTTTTATTTTTTGCTTATTTTTATTTTTTTCCAGCACCTAAAAAAAATAAAATTTCATTCAAAGTTGGTGGCCACATGTATTCTAAGCCATTCTGTGAAGTTTTGAAATTTTTTCTTTTTTGCTTATTTTTATTTTTTTCCAGCACTTAAAAAAATTAAATTTCACTCAAAGTGGGTGGCCACAGGTATTCTAAGCAATTCTGTGAAGTTTTGAAATTTTTTATTTTTTTATTTTTTTCGGCACCTAAAAAAATTTAAATTTCGCTCAAAGTGGATGGCCACAGGTATTCTAAGCCATTCTGTGAAGTTTTAAAATTTTTGATTTTTTTCTTTTTTTTATTTTTTTAGGCACCTAAAAAAAATAAAATTTCCCTCAAAGTGGGTGGCCACATGTATTTTAAGCCACTCTGTGAAGTTTTAAAATTTTTGCTTTTTTGCTTATTTTTATTTTTTTTGGCATCTAAAAAAAATTAAATTTCACTCAAAGTGGGTAGCCACAGGTATTCTAAGCCATTATGTGAGATTTTGAAATTTTTTATTTTTTTACTTTTTTCGGCACCTAAAAAAATTTCAATTTCGCTCAAAGTGGATGGCCACAGGTATTCTAAGCCATTCTGTGAAGTTTTCAAATTTTTTCTTTTTTGCTTTTTTTAACTTTTTTCGGCACCTAAAAAAAATTAAATTTCACTCAAATTAGGTGGCCACAGGTATTCTAAGACATTCTGTGAAGTTTTAAATTTTAGATTTTTTGATTATTTTTTATTTTTTTGGCATCTAAAAAAAATTAAATTTCGCTCAAAGTGGGTGGCCACAGGTATTTTAAGCCATTTTGTGAAATTTTGAAATTTTTGATTTTTTTATTTTTTTTATTTTTTTCGGCACCTAAAAAAATTAAAATTTCGCTCAAAGTGGGTAGCCACAAATTCTAAACCATTCTGTGAAGTTTTGAAATTTTTGATTTTTTGCTTTTTTTTTTCCCTTATAAAAAATCGTGACTTCCAGATGAACATGTGTTTTGAAGAAAGAGTTCTCTCAGAAATGATTCTCATTTTTTGTATAGAAATAGAAAACCTACTTTTTTTTTTGTTTTGATTTCCGGTTCAGAGTCGGTTCTGGAACAAAAAGTTGTTCTAGAAATAGAAAAATGGAATTGCGTTACCAAACGGGATTCTGGTCCAAAGCTATTTCTGAGAAAAGAAAACCAGTTCTGGACAGAACCAGAATGAGTTCTTGAAGCAGAAATAGATTTTTCTATTTTTGATTCTAGGATGAGTTTCTGAGAAAACAAACCCGTTTGATAACGACAAAAAATTTCTATTTCTGGAACAGAAACTCGTTTGATAACAGCACAAAATTTCTATTTCCTGAAACAAAAACCCGTTTGATAAACAACACAAAATTCTATTTCCAGGAACAAAAATCCATTTTTTTAGGAATGGAATAAAACTAATTAGAAAATCCAAAAAATTCCTAAAAATCTCAAAAAAATTCACAAAATCCAAAAAAAATTGAAAAATTCTAGAAAAATTCATTACAATTTCCAAAAAATAAAAAAAATTCAGATTTCAAGAAAAAAGGAAATTTGTTGAATTTTTTCAAAAAAAATCAAAAAAAAAATTTCAAAATTTCATAGAATGGCTTAAAATACCTGTGGCCACCCACTTTTAGTGAAATTTAAATTTTTTAGGTGCCCAAAAAAATTAAAAAATCAAAAATTTCAAAACTTGACAGAATAGTTTAGAATACATGTGACCACCCACTTTGAGTGAAATTTAAATTTTTTAAGGTGCCCAAAAAAATTCAAAAACTCAAAAATTTCAAAACTTCATAGAATAGCTTAGAATACCTGTGGCCACCCACTTTGAGTGAAATTTTAATTTTTTGAGGTGAAAAAAAAAATCAAAACATCAAAAATTTCAAAACTTCACAGAATGACTTAGAATATCTGTGGCCACCCACTTTGAGTGAAATTTAATTTTTTTTAGGTGCCGAAAAAAAAATAAAAACATAAAAATATCAAAAATTTTAAAATTTCACAGAATGATTTAGAATGCCTCTAGCCACCCACTTTGAGTGAAATTTAAGTTTTTTTAGGTGCCCAAACGGTATTTTTGATTTTTTAATTTTTTTTCGGCAACCAAAGAAAATTAAATTTCACTCAAAGTGGATGGCCACATGTATTCTAAGCCATTCTGTGAATTTTTAAAATTTTTGATTTTTTGCTTATTTTTATTTTTTTCTGGCACCTCAAAAAAATAAATTTTCATTCAAAGTTGGTGGCCACAGGTATTCTAAGCCATTCTATGAAGTTTTGAAATTTTTTCTTTTTTGCTTATTTTTATTTTTTTTCAGCACCTAAAAAAATTAAATTTGACTCAAAGTGGGTGGCCACAGGTATTCTAAGCAATTCTGTGAAGTTTTGAAATTTTTTATTTTTTAATTTTTTTCGGCACCTAAAAAAATTTAAATTTCGCTCAAAATGGATAGCCACAGGTATTCTAAGCCATTCTGTGAAGTTTTAAAATTTTTGATTTTTTGTTTTTTTTTATTTTTTTAGGCACCTAAAAAAATAAAATTTCCCTCAAAGTGAGTGGCCACAGGTATTTTAAGCCACTCTGTGAAGTTTTGAAATTTTTGCTTTTTTGCTTATTTTTATTTTTTTTGGCATCTAAAAAAAATTAAATTTCTCTCAAAGTGGGTGGCTACAGATATTTTAAGCCATTATGTGAGGTTTTGAAATTTTTTATTTTTTTATTATTTTCGGCACCTAAAAAAATTTAAATTTCACTCAAAGTGGATGGCCACAGGTATTCTAAGCCATTCTGTGAAGTTTTGAAATTTTTTCTTTTTTGCTTTTTTTAACTTTTTTCGGCACCTAAAAAAAATTAAATTTCACTCAAATTAGGGCTGCGAATGGTAACCATTCTGTTTCTCTATTTCTGTTTCAGAAATAGGTTTGGAACAGAAATATGTTTGGTAACGAAATTCCAATTTCTATTTCTGGAACAAATTTTTGTTCTAGAAATAGGTTTGGAACAGAAATCAGAAATTAAAATTTTTAGCTTCTTTATTTCTGGAACAGAAATGAGAAACAATTTTTTTTTGTTCTTCTCATCAATTTCCCTCACTACTAGCCGGTCGCTCACCCGCCGCCCATCGTTGGTCGCCGCCACCGGCCGACCGCCGCTACCCGTCGCTGGCCGCCGCCGCCGGCCACCGTCTCCTGCCGCCGCCGGCCCTCCTCCCCCTACCGGCGGCCTACGGCCGCCACCCACCACCAACCAGCATCTCCCGCCTCCCACCCCCGGCCTCCTTCCTTCCGCCACCGCCGCCCGCCTTTGGCCGCCGGTCGCCGTGGACCGCCGGCCACCGTCTCCCGCAGCCACTCGCCTCCCACCCAGGCCTCTCTCCTCCCGCCACCGCCGCCCACCTCCCACCGCCAGTCGCCGTCCATCGGCCACCATCTCCCACCACCGGTCGCCCTCCTCCCACCGCTGGCCGCCGTGGGCATCCGGCCGCCGCCTCCCACTGCCTGCTGCCGTCCACCGGCCACCATCTCCCACCACCGGTCGCCCTCCTCCCACCGCCGGCCACCGTCTCCCACCGCCGGTTGCCCTCTTTTGGTCGCCACCCACCTCCCACCGCCGGCCACCGGCTGCCGCCCGCCGTCCATCGGCCACCATCTCCCACCGTCGGCCACCGTCCTCCCGCCGCCGCCTGCCTCCCACCACCGGCCACCGTCTCCCACCGCCACCCGCCCTCCTCCCGCCACCATCTACCACCCGCCGACCACCCGAGAAGAAGAAATTTTGTGCCATTATCAAACAAATTTCTGTTTCTGGAACAGAAATTTTGTGTCGTTATCAAACGTGTTTTTTTGCTAAGAAACTCCTTCAGGAACAGAAATAGAAAAATCAATTTCTTGTCAGAAATTGATTTCTGAAGCAGAATGGTTACCATTCGCAGCCTAGGTGGCCACAGGTATTCTAAGACATTCTGTGAAGTTTTAAATTTTAGATTTTTTGATTATTTTTTATTTTTTTTGGCATCTAAAAAAAATTAAATTTCGCTCAAAGTGGGTGGCCATAGGTATTTTAAGTCATTTTGTGAAATTTTGAAATTTTTGATTTTTTTATTTTTTTTATATTTTTCGGCACCTAAAAAAATTAAAATTTCGCTCAAAGTGGGTAGCCACAAATTCTAAACCATTCTGTGAAGTTTTGAAATTTTTGATTTTTTGCTTTTTTTTTTCCCATATCAAAGATCGTGACTTCCAGATGAACATGTGTTTTGAAGAAAGAGTTCTCTCAGAAATGATTCTCATTTTTGGTATAGAAATAGAAAACCTACTTTTTTTTTATTTTGATTTCCGGTTCAGAGTCGGTTCTGGAACAAAAAGTTGTTCCAGAAATAGAAAAATGGAATTGCGTTACCAAACGGGTTTCTGGTCCAAAGCTATTTCTGAGAAAAGAAAACCAGTTCTGAACAGAACCAGAATGAGTTCTTGAAACAGAAATAGATTTTTCTATTTTTGGTTCCAGGATGAGTTTCTGAGAAAAGAAACCCGTTTGATAACGACAAAAAATTTCTATTTCTGGAACAGAAACTCGTTTGATAACAGCACAAAATTTCTATTTCCTGAAATAAAAACCCGTTTGATAAACAACACAAAATTCTATTTCCAGGAACAAAAATCCATTTTTTTAGGAATGGAATAAAAATAATTAGAAAATCCAAAAAATTCCTAAAAATCTCAAAAAAAATTCAAAAAATCCAAAAAAAATTGAAAAATTCTAGAAAAATTCATCACAATTTCCAAAAAATAAAAAAAATTCAGATTTCAAGAAAATAGGAAATTTGTTGAATTTTTTCAAAAAAAATCAAAAAATAAAAAATTTCAAAACTTCATAGAATGGCTTAAAATACCTGTGGCCACCCACTTTTAGTGAAATTTAAATTTTTTAAGTGCCAAAAAAAATTAAAAAATCAAAAATTTCAAAACTTGACAGAATTGTTTAGAATAATGTGACCACCCACTTTGAGTGAAATTTAAATTTTTCAAGGTGCCCAAAAAAATTCAAAAACTCAAAAATTTCAAAACTTCACAGAATAGCTTCACCTGTGGCCACCCACTTTGAGTGAAATTTTAATTTTTTTAGGTGAAAAAAAAGCAAAAAATCAAAAATTTCAAAACTTCACAGAATGACTTAGAATATCTGTGGCCACCCACTTTGAGTAAAATTTAATTTTTTTTAGGTGCCAAAAAAAATAGAAACACAAACATATCAAAAATTTTAAAATTTCACAGAATGACTTAGAATGCCTCTAGCCACCCACTTTGAGTGAAATTTAATTTTTTTTAGGTGCCCAAACAGTATTTTTTATTTTTTTAATTTTTTTTCGGCACCTAAAGAAAATTAAATTTCACTCAAAGTGGATGGCCACATGTATTCTAAACCATTCTGTGAAGTTTTGAAATTTTTGATTTTTTGCTTTTTTTTCTTTTTTTCCAGCACCTAAAAAAATAAAATTTCATTCAAAGTTGGTGGCCACATGTATTCTAAGCCATTCTGTGAAGTTTTGAAATTTTTGCTTTTTGCTTATTTTTATTTTATTCCAGCACCTAAAAAAAATTAAATTTCGCTCAAAGTGGGTAGCCACAGGTATTTTAAGCAATTCTTTGAAGTTTTGAAATTTTTTTATTTTTTTATTTTTTTCGGCACCTAAAAAAATTTAAATTTCGCTCAAAGTGGATGGCCACAGGTATTCTAAGCCATTCTGTGAAGTTTTAAAATTTTTGATTTTTTGCTTTTTTTTTTTTTAGGCACCTAAAAAAAATAAAATTTCCCTCAAAGTGGGTGGCCACAGGTATTTTAAGCCATTCTGTGAAGTTTTGAAATTTTTGCTTTTTTGATTATTTTTATTTTTTTGGCATTTAAAAAAAATTAAATTTCGCTCAAAGTGGGTGGCCATGGTATTCTAAGTCATTATGTGAGATTTTGAAATTTTTTATTTTTTTATTTTTTTCGGCACCTAAAAAAATTTAAATTTCACTCAAAGTTGATGGCCACAGGTATTCTAAGCCATTCTGTGAAGTTTTGAAATTTTTTATTTTTTGCTTTTTTTAATTTTTTTCGGCACCTAAAAAAAATTAAATTTCACTCAAATTGGGTGGCTACAGGTATTCTAAGACATTTTGTGAAGTTTTAAATTTTAGATTTTTTGATTATTTTTTATTTTTTTTGGCATCTAAAAAAAATTAAATTTCGCTCAAAGTGGGTGGCCATAGGTATTTTAAGCCATTTTGTGAAATTTTTTATTTTTTATTTTTTTATTTTTTTCGGCACCTAAAAAAATTTAAATTTCGCTCAAAGTGGGTAGCCACAGATTCTAAACCATTCTGTGAAGTTTTGAAATTTTTGATTTTTTGCTTTTTTTTCCCACATCAAAGATTGTGACTTCCAGATGAACATGTGTTTTGAAGAAAGAGTTCTCTAAGAAATTATTCTCATTTTTGGTCTAGAAATGGAAAACCTACTTTTTTTTTGTTCTGATTTCTGATTCAGAATCGGTTCTGGAACAAAAAGTTGTTGCAGAAATAGAAAAATGAAATTGCGTTACCAAACGGGTTTCTGGTCCAAAGCTATTTCTGAGAACAGAAAATCAGTTCTGGACAGAACTAGAATGGTTATCATGCGCTACCTAAGCATTCCGAATTTACAATTTTCCAGATTTCAGGGGAACCTCATAAAAATTAGTAAAGGGGTCTATAGACATGCAAATGAGACAATCTTAGCATCATTAGAAAGCTTAAGATGTGCTCTAAGACTTTCTAGAAGGTATCGAGTTTGATTAACATCAATTTCATGATCAATTGAAAAGATTTCTACAATGACGCATATCAGTAATGAATTGCAGCAGATGAGCTCACAAGATGCATGTTGTTTACTATCCTCATGACATGGCAAAAATGTGATATAAATCATATGAATAGTATACAACATGATGAACATTTTTCATGAGAAATCCAAACCTAATTGCGATTCTAAAAAAAATGTAAAAATGGGAAAACATATCAGGTTCCTTAAAATCAACAATTACAAAATAGGGATTCAACATTGAGCATGTAATTGACCATGCAGATGATGATCGAATGACATGATTTATACCTTTTTGAAAAGGTAATGAACTATACTATGATTTTCATGAAGACATCAGGGTCAGGAAATCACAATTGCACATTCAATTTTGAGCAAATCCAATTCGGGTTCCAGTAGAGGCAGACAAGACATAAGGTCAGTTCATAGAGGTTTTCACCTATTTACTTATCTCTAAAAAATCTAAAAAATTTATATGTTGCAATCAAGACATATGTGAACATTTTTCATGAAGATACCTAAGTTTACATCGTAGCAGAAAAATCAGAAAAAAAATCGACAACAGTGCAGATGGGGCAAAATCAGCATGTGCAAAGGTCAAATTTCATTAGTTTTCCACACTTAGACATATTCCAAAAATTCCGAGGAAAATCTATGTTATAACCAACCTGATTTAGATAATTTTTCATGAGACATCTCCTATTGAATCTCAACACACAAGGCAGCAAAAAATTATCAAACCAAATAACCTGATTCAGAGTAATCAATGCAGAAAGCCATTTCAAACCCTAGGTCGATTCACAGAGGATCTCATTGATCTAGACTCATCAGAAAAATATAGAAAAAAAATATGTTATAGTGGGATGATTCTCAACAACTTTCATGAAGACCACAACATCCAGATCCGAACAGAAAAATCAGTAAAAAACTAGCAAAATTGCTCCAATCGTGTAAAAACCTGAAGAAACAGAACAATAGAATTTCTGATTCTGATGCAAACTTTAGAATAGGTTTTCAGGTAGCAAACGATACCAAATCGAGCGCCGTAAGATATCAAATCGAATTTCTCAAAGCATATTACGAGAGTCCATAAGGTGTCGAAGTTGAGAAATAAAGTTTAACAGGTCAAAATCGACAAAACAGAAAGCATGTCCAGAAACTCGAAATTGTAAATCATCTTCTAACTAAAGAACATCATCATTAAATCATCAAACATGAAATCAGGAGCCATAAGTCATCAATATAGAGTCCATAGAAAGCCTTAAGGTGAATCCTAGCCCCGGCTACCTATCGTAGCCTTGCTTCATCGGATTCAAGCGTAGATTCCTACCATTTGCGCAATTTTGGTTAAACCGAACTCCGATTCACAATGATTTCAGCAAAATAGCACCGGAAACACACCGAAGGAACTCCAAATGCTTCAAGGGACACCGGAAGGGGACCGATCAGCACCAGTTCACTACCGATGAATCGGTTCGAATCGATTTAGGCGGATTGGCTCGGTTTGAGCCGATCCGCACCGCCGCGATGGAGAGGGGCTAGATGGAAAGATCGGAGGCTCCTCCAGCGGTGCTCCGACTAGCAAGGCATCAAGGAGAAGGAGGCAGACGTCGGAGGAGGTGACCAAAGGGGCGGCGATGCCGGCGTGTAGCCGTGGGGAGCAAAGAAGGCGGCGGTTCGGCAGAAGTTCGGTGGCGGTTAGGGAGGAGAAAGAGAAAGAGGAGAGAAATCTGGATTTTTTTTCTAAAAATCTGCAGAATGAGCCCCCCTTTTTTAGTTTTGGAGGGAAAATGGGTTATATACCCCCCTCAAGATTCAATCTTAGCCATTGATTTGATTCGAAGGTTGAGATTTGTGCCTATCTTTTACTTGGATGTTAAGCAAAGATCTCATTTAACATGTGCTGATTTGAATGGCCATGATTTAATCTCATCAATGGTCTTGATTAATTTTGCAATTAAGGACCTAATTAGGGGCATTTTTGTAATTTCACAAAATCCGGGGACTTTTTTGCAAAATCTAAAAATTGGAGGGCACGGGGGAATTACTCAAAGGACGGGTCGCTGGCGACCAGGAACCGGCCGGAGGAAGGCCGAATCGGCCTCCTTTGCCGATGATCGGTCGGACTGGCTGGACCGGTTTTGACCGGTTCGACCGATTCAGTCTTCTCTTTGGGCGGTTGAGTCTCAATTGTTCCAAATTTATGCAATTTAGTTCCTAGGAACTAAATTGAAAGGAAAGATTTGTCAATTTTGAGGAAAAAATAGTCCAATTTGAAGAGAAACGGTTCAATTTTGATACAATTAGGCCAATTAAACCAAACCTACAACTTTTATGGGTTTAATTATCTAATTGGTCATTAAAAATATTGGATCCATGCCATAGGTGCACCAAATTGGATTTTTCCTAAACTAAGTTGGACAATTTTATGCAATTTATCGCCAAAATTTGCAAATTAATCGAAATTGAGTTCAATTAGACTTGCGAAATACTTATTGAACCAATTGCCCATGCTTATAGTGACCTATTGCATTCAAATCAACTTTGAAATGGATGCGTGGCCTTCATGTGAAAATTAAATTGAAGGCAAATGTTGAAATTGAACCTCAATTCATCAAATTAAACCTTTGTCTTGAATGGGTCAACTTGAATTTTATCAATTGGACATCAATAACCCCTAATCCCCAAATTCAAATGAGCCAAATGTGTAAAATTGGAGAGTTCTCAAGTGAATTTCGCAAAATTGACCCCGGATTCGTGTTTATCTCACAAAAACGAGTCAAAGGAAACCAACCATTCAAGAATCGTGAAGAATTGATTCAAATCCCTAATTAGGGCTAAAATTGGGGGTTTTCATTTCAAAGTACCGATTCACAAAATTGGTCACTCGAGTGATCTTATGATGACCTCTGGATCAAATGTCATAAAAGGAACTAAGCTAAAATATGAACAAAATGAAAGTAATTTTTTTTTTGGTCGATTCCGAACCTATTTCTGCAAATTGGGGAAAAGTAGGTTCTTAATCGGTTTTCGCAAAATTTCAAATGCTAAAGTCAAATTGAATGTAAAATAAGATCATTTTGGGATATTTGTATTTTTCAATTTTTTGGTCAAAGGTTTGACCAAAAGTCAAACCCTGGTTGACTTTTCACTAAGAGTTTGATTTTATGATCAAATCTTTGAATTTTTCTGGAATTTCCACTTCTAAAGTTAAATTAAACTTGAAAGGAATCTTTTTATGCGAAAAGCCTCAATTTGACCCAGGGTTGACCAAAAAGACAACCCGAAAGTCAACTGTTTGACTTTTTAGGTTTTTGCATGAAATGAGTGGTAAACTGTCTACAAAAGCTAAGCCAACAAACAGAATTAAAAAATGACACTTTTTGTTCAAGAAACTGATTCCGTTGCGATCGAAAACCCTAATCTCGAGTTTTCTGCTTTTAATGACGCGTCGACTAAAAATTGGGTGTCAACACTTTGTTTTCTAATCTATAATTCTCGAAAAATTATCCTAGGCCTCAGATTGATTAGCTCGCTTTTAACCAAGAGGAGGACGGGAGTTAGGTAACCTTACCTTGTTTGTCGCACTCACGATCGTAGAGTCCACATCAGCAGCTCCATGGAATGGCAATTCCATGAGCGGACTCATTTCATTATATCCATCCACTTCCATTGATATGTCTTTGTCTTGATCCATCAACTGAAATCAAATTATACAACAATGCCAGGATTCTACTGAAAACAAATTTTACAACAATATAGGACCAATGAGCATTCTGTGTTATCCACATTCATTGTGTTCCTAAAACATTTTCTTCACAAAAATAATATACTCAATCGTGTTCCTAAAACATTTCTTTCTCAAACACGCCCTATGCCGTATAATGGGAATAGCCTCACAGCATCCCAAGCAAGAACGCGAATTAATCACAGAGGTAGGGCAAACTACTTCAGCATCAGCAAAGAATAGACTGAAGAAGCTATCTCAGGTTGCAAAATAGTAGTGCACCTCAAAACTCAATTCGATAATGCCATCGCCTCGCCATGAGTGATGGAACTTCCCCGAAACTCACAAATCGACTTTTCAAGTCTCAATCTTAAACTCTCGATTCGAGCTTTCTTGTTCCAGACAAGAAGACAACTGACACGATACTACAGGCCATGTTAACTCGCATAAAGCCCGACTTTCTCCATCCTAGTTATGCAACCCATCGTCACACAGTCTCAGGACCCAAAAAAGAAAAGCAAAAGGAGACAAAGAAAGAAACTGGCATCCCCTCAATGAAGACAGGCTAAGAACTCCAATTTCACAAACCATGACTACAAAGAATCCATGATCTTATCGCTTTCCTAAAAAACAAATGTATGCATTATTCATATATTGATTTGGCTCAACTTGCCCAATTCTTCAGGAACCTTTTTCCCTTCAAACGCCATTTTTCTCTACAATCTCAAGCCATCCTGAATCTCCAAAAAACCTCGTCACCTAATGACAAAGACAACGGGATTGTAATCACAGCCCGGAGACGAAAACGATAAAACGTAGAGACAATAGGTGAGACGAGCTGGGTTGCCCAAAAAAGTACAAAAATTCAATTTCGGACTCACCTTGCTCTAGATAGTTGCGTCGGAGTTGGCGACAAGATGAGAAGCGACGAGCTTGGTTGCATTCTTGCGGGCCGTAGCGACAAGAGGCAAAGAGCTGCATTACGTTCTTGTGGCAATTGAGAAGGCGACTCGCAAAGAGAAAAACTGAGAGATACAGAGGAGGCGCTCGCAACTGGACTAACGTGATGCTAGGGTTTTTTTTACATGACTTAAAATCGATTCTAAAATCAGTCCGGGTGGGTTTTTACTTGGAACTCGGAATCGAACC